GAAAGGATATATGCACTCCAGTATTCACAGCAGCACCATTTACAACAGCCAAGACATGGAAGCAACCTCAATGTTTAACCAGATGACTGGATAAAGAAGTTGTGGTATATTTATACAATGGAATACTACTTAGTCATGAAAAAGAATGAAATAATGCCATTTATAGCAATATGGATGGACCTAGAGATTATCATGCTATGTGAAGTCAGTCAAAGAAAGAAAGACAAATATCACATGACACCACTGATACGTGGAATCTAAAAAATATATATACACACACAAATGAACTTATTTACAAAATAGAAAAAGACTCACAGACATCGAAAACAAACTTACAATTACCAAAGGGAAAAGATGGGAGGGATAAATTAGGAGTTGGGGATTAGGAGGTACACACTACTGTATCTAAAATAGATAAACAACAAGGTCCTACTGTACGACACAGGTCTTGATCTATCCGTATATGTTAAATTAGTATTTCTGCCACAACCAAGTAATGCACAAGTAATACAACAATTTACCCCTTTATTTACACATCTTAGCTTTGTGCTCCTGCCACGTTTTATTTTTACATGTTGTAAATACCATAAACCATTAATACTGTAGTTTGCAATCATCAAAATTCTCTTACATTTCTTCATGTATTTATTCTGCCTAGTGGTCTTTATTCCTTCCTTCAGTTCCATGCTTAAACTCCCTCATATTTATTTATTTGGATTAAAGCATCTTGATTTTTCTCTTCATTTCTGACAGATATTTATTTCTGGGTAAAGAATTCCAGGTAGGTTTTCTTTCAGCACTTCCAAGATATTATTCCATTGTCTTCTAGTTTTAATAATTTTGTTGAAAAGTCTTATTTTGGTGCCTTTGGAGGAAATGTCAGCTATTAGTCTTTTTAGGGCTCCTCGGAAGTAAATACGTCCAGCCTTCTCTAACTGCCTTTAAATTTCTCTTTATCTTTGATTTTCAGTAACTGGAGTATAAAATACTTAGATACGTTCTGTTTGTTGTGTAAATGTATTTGTTTATCCTGTTGGGCTTACTGAGCTGCTTGGGTCAGTGAGTTAAGGCTTCTCATCAGATCTGGAGAATTTTCAGCCATCTTTTTTCAAATATTTCATTTGCCATTTCTCCTTCTCTCCTCTCCTGGGGCTCAAATTTCATCGACTCTGGAACTTGTGTCTGCTTCCCCTGTATCTCTTATGCACTGTTTTGTTTATTCTTTTCTTCCCCTCTGTGATTCAATTTAGGTATGTTCTACTGACCTATTCTTGACTGTTCTCATCCTGACTTCCGACATGTCCAGCCTGGTTTCCAAACCATCCAATTAATTCTCAACTTCCAATACTGCATTTTCCAGGTCTACACTACCCATTTGGCTTCTTTTTTTTTTTTTTGGTGGGGGGAGGTAATTAGGTTTATTTGTTTATTTATTTCTTTATTGGAGGTACTGGGGATTGAATCCAGGATCTCATGCATACTAGGCATGCACTCTACCACTGAGCTATATCCCCCCCACCCCATTTGGTTCTTTTTAGTAGACAGTTATCTACTGAGTTATCTTTTCATACATGTATCTCTATTTTCTTTAACATACAATTATTTTGAATTCCACTCACAATTTAATGGCCAAAATTAGTCACATGGCTCCACCCAACCACAAG